ATCTTGATATACATTATTGAGGGCTAACGCGAATTAAGATTTCTCGAAAAACACTGTCGCTTAAGCGCCAGACTAACGACAGGTGAGCATGAGGTGTGTCGCTCGAGCGAGAGTCGAGCGACAATGATTCTGTTAGTCATGATCAAATTCATGAATTAGCCCACTTTTTTTCTGCTCGAGCATCAGCTAGATGACTAGCTAGCGTAAATCCGATGACCATTTCTCCTTGTTCTACACTTGAACCCAAATACTCATAATTTATCTATACAACCCTCTAAAAGATTTATTAACTTTTACAACTCTTTCATAACAATTATTTTCTATTATAATAATCCTTTTGTCTAAATAATTGTTAATACAACATAAGTCCTAAAAACATTAATAGATGGAAGAAAATGTCTCACTTCATGTATGTTAACACCGAAAATTGAAAGGGCTATATTAAAGTGTTAGAGAAAAAAAAACACACCATATTAGTATATTCTCTTCTCCTCCTCCATTCAAGTTGCAATTCTCAATGTGAGAAATGTTGTGTAATCCCCTACTTTGCAATGGTTAAAGCTTTCTTGACGAGATTCCAAGAGAACTAATCTTAGTCAAGAGTCGTTTGACAAAGTTTTACCAGATTTTGGTAAAAGTAGATATAATATGTGATTGAAAAGTTAATAAAAGTTGTGAGTTTTATGAAATATGATTAAAATTGAAGTTTAACTAGTTAAAAAGTTGATAAAAATTTTAGCAAAGTTTTGTCAACCTAGCACTAAAGTTAATCCAATAATTGCGTTAAATGAGGTACAATTTGATTCTTTGAATTCACAAAACTCTCGAGACAAAGTGGTGTGTAACTTTTTGAGCTTCTATGTTAGCTAGATCGTTGAGATGAATATATTGGTGCATCTAAAAGTAAACAATTTTTTGTTAATTAATTGGTCAAAACATATATGAAGACTCACAAGAGTAGAGTAAAGATAGTCGTTACATATATTTCTTTCTTAATTATGTAAATTTTATCGTACCAAACAAGTTGCAAACATGCTCAATTCTTTAGATAGCTAAATCCTTCATCAGCTTCGAGGCTTCTGCACAAGTTAGCTTAGCCCCTCATTTTCAATCACGCATCATCTAATAAAATAATATTAAACGTAAATTTGAAATTTTTCCTTCATTTTTAACCACACATTTTTATAAAAAATCACTACTTTATAATGCATTTTTTTCCCAAAATTTGATTTTAATGCAGCCCAAACAAGTGCTTAGTTTGACAACTCTCTCACCATTAATTTATAGGTTTCATAAAATATTAATTGCCTTCGTTGATATTAAGGATATGGAAATATTTTCATCTTTTCTGTAATGTTTCAGTTTTTTTACATGTGGAATTGTTCTCCTTCCTACGGTGGACAGAATAAGACTGTCCACCTGCTGATGTGGCAGGAGAACCCAACGTTAGGTTCTCTCCGAGTGTGTATAATAAAACTTCCCACTGTAGGCAGGAGAACACGTCTGTTATTACATGTTCCATTTCTCAAATTCTTGATGGACCGAAATAAAGATTTTATTTCTTCGAATGATAGTTAATACAAGATTAAAAAGAAGAATATGAAGCTTTCCATGCCCAAATGTCCAGACTCTTGTATGTCTTATCTTTCTGCACAAAGTACACTGTTGTATAAATGTGGTATGTCGTCGTGCACTTGACCCGAGACATAACGAGAATCGCCTGTCCCAAACTAGGATATACAAGAGGAACCCAGTCTTCAACATTCTCAGCAGTTCTTGAAGGTGAAAGCACAAGTACTTAAAACCACTAAATAACATCACTTGGCTTGCTCAGCTCTTGAACCACTGATGCCATGGTCGGTCTACTGTCTGGAAGCTCATGGGTGCAGTCGAGTGCAATTTTTGCTAAACGGGCTGCCTCTGACTCAGTGAACTTGCCCTTGAGTTTCAAGTCAACAAAATCTTCCAATTTTCCAGCTTCAGCTGCCAGTCTTGTTAGGGTAGCAAGTTTTTGTTTGCCAGAGATTACTTGAAGGATTATCACTCCAAATGCATAAACATCACTCTTCTCTGTGAAACGACCAGTAGTTATGTACTCGGGAGCCATATATCCAAACGCAGCGCTGACTTTGAGGGCTGAGTAAACAACATCATCAGCAAGGAGCTTCAAAAGACCAGAATCCAATATTAATGGATTGAAATGTTCGTCGACGAGGACTTTCTCCACGGATATATTTTGGTGAACAGTGGGAGGTTTGCTTGGTTCACCGCCGTGCAAGTACTCTATACCTGTTGATACATTAACCCCATAAGACATCACAGAGTAGAATGAAAACTAATCTTAGAACTTAAAACAATTTAAGAGTATTTCACGTCATCAAATTGAACTTAATATGATGCTCAGGTGAATCTATTAAGAGTAAGCAATAACTCCATATTAATTGACACAAAGAACTCGACTGATTAAAAGAATTTAACTTTGTGGAGCCTAACTATACTGTACACTTAGCACCAACTGCAGGGTATTTTTCAATTGTATTTTGCATTCAGGAATATATTCAGCATTCACACATTTAGTAGAAGTTACTTAGAACAGTGTAGACCCGATATACTTCCAATAAATATTGCATTTTCTCGGAAACGACAAGCAATTATGATCACATCTAAATAATTCAAGAAGTCATTACATTCAGTACACAATATAATGGGGAAAGGAGCAGTTTTCAGCAAAATGTAACATCTCAGACCCTGAATGAGCGCAGCACACAGACATCTGACTTAACTGCAGATATTTCTGTAGAAGATTTCCTTGTATGGATAGTAAATTTTGGATATGGTGAATAGTGTTGCTCCATACTTTCAAATTAAGCAATGTTATTACTTAAAAGTAAGAAAAAGTGACTTATCCAGGTGTGTTTGGATAACTATTGCTTAATTTGAAGCTTAGCAAAACATGGTCTGCAAGACTGACTTTGAAAAGATGACATGGACAACACATTAAATTCATGAATGTCAAAGCCTTGTTACCATTTCTAGGACCAACTTAAGCTAGCTAAGGCTTACAACCTACTTCATCAGTTGTGGCACAACAAATTTAAGATCATCAAGAAATGCATTTATTGCAACTGCTTCTGGTCTCTTAGAAGTGAGTGCAATAATTGTTTTATCAGAAGTAGTTATGAATTACTTCTTCTTGAATGATAAAAGCTGCATAACATGGTCTTCGAGTATTGCTTGGCCAAGTTAAGTAAGCTATTGATGAAGGGAACGTGTATGAAAAGAGACTAATGAATAGAAAATGAACAATCTTCCATACTCTGTTGATTCAATTAAGAATTTCAGAGAGAAGACACCAAACACTTGATTTATGGGAACACTTGAGTTTGGAAAATTGAAGAGAGAACGAAGTTTAGTAATGTTTCCCATTTTTTAAATAAGAAAAGGACTCTTTCACGCCCTAAAAACCAAGAAATTCACACAAAATCACAAAGAATAAGGGACTATGTCCTTGTTCTACTGAAAAACCCGTTTCTATTTGTAAAAGTCCGATAATTTGACCTAATACAACAGTACTGACCACAAAATAGGATTGAGTTATTTTGGTCTTTAGGAGATCCCGAGAGCCACACATTCCCACTCTTTGTAGGCTCCATCAGCTTAGTAATTGACAAACAACCTAATGCTCAAGAAAGTGTACAGATGTGATATAATCAAACAATCAGAAGACTTGCTGCTGTTAATCTGTGACAGAAAATAAGAAAAAAAATATAATCTTCAAAACCAAGTGAAAATATGATTAATAGTAGTAGGAGGATACCAACCTTTTGCAATCCCATTGATGATGGAAATCCTTGTCGGCCAGTCAAGGACATTGATACTATCATCCTCGTTGTCCAGATACTGAGACAAATTACCCTTTGAAGCAAAGTTGTAGATTAGGAAACATTCGCCCCGGGCCTTTGAGCAACAGAAACCCCTCAATTTAACAAGATTGTCATGTTTTAGAGAAGCCAATAAGCTTAATCCTTTTATAAATTCGGCTTCGACTGACTTACAATTCATCTTGCTTATACTTTTGATCGCTACTCGTGATCCATCTTTTAAAATTCCCCTGTACACAGATGAGAACTTACTCTTTCCCAATAAATTCACCTCTGAGAAATGTTGAGTTGCTGATTCAACCTCTTCCAAATTAAACTTGAAGACGTTTAAAAACTCGTGACATATACCGTTGGAATCTTGAGAAGTGATCGCAGGATCCCATCCATTCGAATACTCAAGATCTACAAGAGAAGAGGGGCTTTTCTTGTAGACTTCTTTTGCCTGGTCAATGCTAAGCCGGTCATCAGAAGTATCAGATGTGTTCCCAACTTTCTGTTTACGCCTACGATACCGGAAAACGATGAGAAATCCCCCGATCATCAATGCAATTACGGCTGTAAGTACTCCTGCTACAATGCCTATTTGTGGTAATTTTGATGAGGACCTCGAGCAATGAGTATGGTTACAAGGCATTGGAAAACTAGCAGTTTGGGGTATATTTGGAGGTACAGTTTTATTGGCATTTGGTTCAATTTGATTTGTGTTTAGATTATCCCAAGCAGTGCAAACTCTCAATGAAGAAAAGCCAACCCCACATAGACCAGGGTTGTTTTCAGGATGGAATCCTCCATTCAACCTCCTCAAAGCTTCTCGCACGTATCGAAGGAAAAAGAACAACAAAAATTAGAATGTATGCGCAGGAAATGAAAATTTAACAAGAAAAACAATGCAGAGAAAAAAAGAAAATAAAAATAAAAATACACCCATTCTAATAAGCAATCCAAGAATTCTTGTTATACATACCTTCTAACCCCGAACCCACTTTCCTAGATTTTTTGATATTGAATCAAACACATTCCAACACCAGTTCGATATGTTTCTAGCTATTCCAATGGCCTCATCGAATGATACAAGTCTTGAATGATAATAAACTACAACACATTAGAATGCCATGTTGACTATCCTTCACTCCGACTACATCTATAGTTCCTCAAACAACATGAGCTTTTAAAACCACGTATGAAACTTTCATTTAAAACAGCTCCTAATTGATAAAAGAAAGAACAAAAGGCCGTTACAGAATACATGAATATGAAGAAATCAACTTACCGGAAGGCACGGCTCCAGAAAGGTTATTGTTTTGTACATCTAGAAACTCCAATTGGGGAACATTCGCCAATCTAATTGGAATTGGACCGGATAGTTGATTGGAGCTCAAATAAAGCCTCTTGAGCCCTCCCAAATTTCCCAAGCTTTCGGGAATTTGCCCGTTTAGTCTATTGTTTTCGAGTGCGAGAACACTCAACCTTTTTAAGAACCCCATCTCGTTAGGTATGTTCCCTGTTAACTGGTTACAGCATAGCTGCAGCACTGAAAAAACAACAAATTTAAATCATATAAAACAGAGTTGGAAAATTACCAAATCCTGGAAGTAAAATACCCCTTTCCTAGGTGCAGATTGCCAATTCAAATCTTAAGCTTTATCAAATTAAATGATTGGAAACATATGAACTTTTGGAGAATTAACAGTTAATTTTTCCAAAACAAACACATCCCAGACACATAAACTAACTTGGGGTGCATCTTATAGCCAAAATCCAGTTCAAAAAATAACACTTCACATGTCGCAGGAAGAGAGCTTTAAACTTTTCTTTTACAGAAATAAAACCACTAATTGTCTTTGTTTCAATCATAAGTTCTATATAAACAAATTTTAAATGTGCTATTTCTAATCTCTAACATCTCAAGGTATACTAGGTGGTTCAACCTGGCATCAGTAGTTTAGCTTCGATTTCAAGTCTCGTGGTCACCCACCTACAGTGAATGGTTATTTCTAACAGTTTAAGCTTTGACACGAGGCCATATAAACTATAAAATCACACAGTACAAACCTTGAAGACTAGCCATGCTTCCGATCTCCGGCGGTATAATTCCAGAGAGATTATTCACATTGAGATAAAGATCTGTCAATTCAGTGAGATTAGCAATCTCCTTGGG